TTCAAGCCTGTCAGTGTATCACTGGGGAAATGTGTATAACCTCATTTCAAAACAAGGCTAAATGTATAGCCTGTTATGAATGTCAATTATAGCCAATGAGTTATCTTTCCTTTTATCATCTCCTGCTCATATTCAGAGATAAGTTAAATTTTCTCTGAGAGAAAGAGAAAATACATTAAACAGACAAATAAAGACACATAAAAAAAGAAGAGAAAGAAGGAAAATAAGAAGACAATACAAGGTATGATGATCTATTATGGATTTATAAGCAGAAAACTTGATAGAAATTAATAAAATAATACTTATTAAGTGACAATTGAAGTCCCTGGTACTGTTGATGGCATGAAATAAAAGGACCATTTTTGCTCCTTAGTCTCAAATAGCTTCAAGCAAGAGAGATAAAGCAAACGTGTTTCAAGCAGAGGTCAGGGCTAAATTCTGTGATACTAACTATATATAAAATAAGATTTGGGAGAAATAAGAGGTTAATACTGTTGACTGAGTTTCTCCATTTATACAATAGGACGCAATAATAGAGTCTATATTGTAGTATCATTTAAATATTACTGATAAAGAATTCAGCCAAGCGCTTGACAGAGTAAGCATCTATTAATATTGCTTATTAATTCATTAAAATTTATAAAAGATATAAAGGTCCTGGATAAATGAAACAAAGGCTATCAAATTTTACATAAGATGCATAAATTATAGTATGTTATATTATTTATTAGTTACTAAATTATCAACGGGATAAAAGATACATAATTTTTCAAGGTTATGACTAAACTGACCATCTTTGTTGCTAGTGATAAAAGCATATACACTCCTTGAGTAGGCAATATGGCAATGCATACTAAGATTAATTTAAAATGGTCATATGATTCGATCAAGTAATCCAGGCTTAGTATTTGTCTTTAGAAAATATAAAAGTAGGCCAGGTGCCATAGTTCACACCTGTAATTCCAACACATTGTAAGGTTAAGGTGGGTGAATCTCTTGAGCCCAGGGGTTCTAGACCATTCTGAGCAGCATGGTGAGACCCAGGTCTCTACTAAAAATAAAAAATAAAAAATAAAATAAAATAAAAAAGCTGGGTGCGGTGGTGTGTACCTGTGGTCCCAGCTACCCATTTAACCCCGCATAAGGTGGGTGGATGGGTGGAGGTGGAGGAGGCTGGCACCACTGCACTCCAGCCTGGGTGGCACAGTGAGATCCTGTCTCAAGAGACAGACAAAAATATAAAAGAAAAATTGACAAGCAATAGGAGAATTATTGCAATGATAACTTTTAATATAAAACCAGACTCAGCTTAAAAATCAAGTAAAAAAAGAGGTAGGGATGATTTGGCATATTATATCCCATCAACATAATGGGATATCATGTTCTTAAACATGGTGATTACATATACAATGTTCAATTTGTAAAGTATTTACAATAAAAACAAAATAAGCCCCATAAACTTGGAGGGATTACGTACAACATGTAAAATTGACAAAGCATTATTATCTCAAATATACTATGAGTTTCCTCAAATTACTGAATAAAAAAGCAGGAAATTCAATAGAAAATAGTCAAAGTTTATGAATAGAATCAGAATGCAGAATCTGAATGGCTCTAAAGAGATAAAGTGATCCTCAACTTCAATACCTATCAGTGAAACACAAATAAAAGCAACATTAAGGTAATGTTCTATGGATAATTAGATTGAATAATGCTTCTGCTGATAAAATTGTGGAAAATAGAATCCCTTCTATATTTTACATTGAACTGGTGTGAATTGGTGCACTCATTCAGGAAAAAGTGTGGCAACAGTAACCAGTAGATTTACAAATGTGTATGACTTATCACTGAGCAACCCTATACTCCTGGAGATATTCCCCTGAGAAAATTCCTAACAGGTTCAAAGGAAACATATATGTGTGATTTATTGAAATGTTGTTTGGAATGAAAGGAGTTAGAAGCAACTTAGATGTCCACAGCTAGGAGATAGGGTAAGTAAAAATTCATATACAGTCATGCTTCAATTAATGATGAGGATATATTCTGAGAAGTGTGTCATTAGGTGATTGTGTCACTGTGCAAACATCATAGAGTGTACTTATACAAATCTACATGGTAAAGCCTACCACACACTAGGTTATATGGCATAGCCTATTGCTTCTAGGCTACAAACCTGTACAGCATGTTACTGTACTGAATATTGTAGGCAATTGTAACATAGTGGTAAGTATTCGTGTATCTAAACATATCTAACCACAGAGAAGGTACAGTAGGCATCAGTTTTATAATCTTATGGGACTACAGCTGTATATGCTGTCCATCACTGATCAAAATGCCACCATGTGGCACATGACTATACATAAACGATGGCAAAGCGGCCAGCAATTGGAAGAAATTAACTAGATTTAAAGACGTTCATGCACTGCATAAAAATGTTTTAATCCACAATGGACGACATATAGATAGTAGTCCTATGAGATTGTAATGAAGCTGAAAAATTCCTATTACCTAGTGACACGGTATTCTTCATAACGTCATAGCGGAATGCATGACCGTTTCCATGTCTAGGTATGTTTAGATACACAAATACCATTATGTTACAATTGCCTACAGTATTCAGCACAGAAACATGCTGTAAATGTTTGTAGCCTAGGAGCAATAGGCTATATCATGTACCATCTAGGCTTATGTAAGTACACTCTATGATGCTCACATGATGATTAAATCACCTAAGGATGCATCTCTCAGGACATATCTCCATCATTAAGAGAGGCATGTCTGTATAGCACCATAGAAAGCTGTCCAAGAGCTAACATGGAATGAAAGTAGTAAGAAACATAATAAGGTTTATGATACAAAAATATTTATGCTATATAGAACACACTCACACGTACACAACTATACACTATTTTTTTGAATGCCGCATATACAGCTAAATATAGACATATATGGAGAATGAGTTTGATAAACACGCATTAAATACATTAAAATGAATGTCTACAGGGGATTGAAGCAAGGATTGGAGACTGAAAATAAAATAAAACCAGCTAGGGCTCTTGCCTAGAATGATGATAGCACAAGGCCACAAACTTAAGGATATAATCAACTCAATTCTGTGCACCTGGGGTAACAACAACCGCAACAACAAAATAAAAAGGAAAACTAAAACATATAACTTTAAGTGGAAAAGGCTGAAAGAATGCATAATGGTATGCAAAGTGAAATAATAAAACAGAGTACAAACACATGTTTATATGAATTTAACTGTAAGACGGAAATTGTACGCAAACAGGAAAGTAACAGCAAACAGAACAAAAACACAAAGTATACAGATTGATCAAAACTACCTAACAACATATTCATGTGAGTTGGCTGGGGGAAGGGACCTGCTCTTCTTCTCTTCCTCCTCTTAACACTGCCTTCTACATGTTATAAGGTTGGTTTATGGAGGGGTTATGGGTAAGGATACTTTACAAAACCACACAGTAGAACCTCCTTCAGCTTTCTTGAAATTATTTCTTTTAGGATCTCCCCTACTTCCTTGCATGAGGCTGGAGGGTGGAACTGACCAACACTGTCACCTCTATTCTCCTACCAAGCTCTAGTGGAGGGCTGAACTGACTAACTTAGATAATTTTGAAGAAATTCTTTATTCCACATGGCTGGTGAGGGAAGAAAGGGTCATGACATACTCATCTTGGGGAGAGGCATCATTGTACCCTCCACACTCCTTCTTGAATTGATAAGGTCATGATAAGGTTTAGGGGAAAGGAGGGCACTCAAGCTGGACTACTCAAGATTTCCTCCTGTTGTTCCTTCAGAACCCGATTCTCTAAGCCCGATTCACCACTGGGGAAGGGACTAGTCAAGTCTCCTAAAGCAACCTTGCATTTGATCTTCTCTCCTGTGCATCTGTCTCCTGAACCCTTCAAGGGAGGGTGGCTGCAGGGCCACTCCAGAAAAATAGTCCAGGCAAAGATTTAAGGCCCCGTCTACTATCCCAGAATAAGACACAATATGGAGAGAAAATAGAGCTTGTTATTTACAACCGAAATAGCTATTTTAAGTGGTGAAATTATGGATGATTCCCCCCCAACCAATTTTACTTTGTTTAAATAAATATATAGAAAATTCATTATAGCCATCAAACAAAAGCAGACTTTATTCTCTAGTGTTGACCAGAGTGTCATTCTAGTAATGAATTGTATTATACAACTAACAGGTGTCCCATTGTGTAGCTAATTAGCACATTTATCCTATATAATTTTAATTGTTAGTAATACATTTAAGAGTAAATGCCTTGCATCTCTCAATTTGGGCATTTTCTACAAATTTCGTAGCTTGCATATCACCCAGCACAAAGCTAAGTATGTAACAGAACCAATATGAGATATAGAAAAAAGTCTGAAATGGAGGTGATTATTTCTAAACATACTGTATATACAACACAATTATCATCTTTCTTTACCCTCCTATGAACCATACTTTTTTTCTTCCAGATTTTTGTTGCTGTTGTTGTTGTCCGAAGAGTTCTTATTCCCTTTTCAAATTTGTCTCACCTCTGTATATGTTACTTTCATTTTATCAATTTCTATTTTGAGTTACAAAAGTGGTTCAAATCCTCCATCCCTCAAGAAATTACTCTCACAAGGTATTGTACGGAGACTTTCATATATTGCAAATGAATGCATTCATTCTCTAATCTTTCAATCACAGAAATCACAATCCATTATCTTAATTATTTTTAGTGTATTATTAGTTCAAGTCCAAGGAGGACAAAAAGCACCTCATTTATATGTTCTATTCAACAATATAGAATGTAGTTCCTTTCTTTAACAACTGTAATTACATTGAAAATAATGTTGATCATAGTGGTAGCAGAGGAGACTGTTCTAGTCTGGTACCATAGGGCCTTGCATCCCAAACAATAACAGTGGCACAAGTTAAGCATATGAAGAACCAGCATAGTTATATAAAAGTGAATTAAAGAATTTTGTTACCTTAGTTTCTTTCCTCCATCTGCAATTTTAGCTTTTTGCAGATAACCTTCTTTTTCAACCATCTGCAAGAAGAACGCATATGTTAAAACTGTGACAAACTACTATGCATTGTTGGTTTGAATAAACCTATGCTTTTCAAGAGTCATTGCAGTGATGGAAGTTTTCAGTCATAGAACTTTATCAATAATGCATGTATAGCTTATGGGAACTGCCTGCAAACTCATAGTCATTACAAGCTGTTACATATCTAAAAGACAGATTACGAAGAGGAATGTGAATGATTTGTTAGATAGTGATACACCTTTATTGACTTTGCTTTCTGGGCATTGAAGTCACTTGCTTAAAAAATTGATTACAAATGGTAAAAGAAAGACAAATTGAAAGCCTTCGTTTATTTTACCAAGTATTCTTAGAAAAGTTCTTCTTCTCAAGCCTTCCCGTGTACCTTCTGAAGCCAGGATAAAGGAAGACCTCAGTAGGACCAGGTGACTGAGCTAGTTGAATCATGAAGGGCATTTAAAATAGCAACATTTCATATATTCTGGTCAATTGCCAAGAGACCCTGTAGTAGCAGTATCTCATTGTCTTCTTCTATGATGTAGGATTGCTTCCTTTTACTATTTGCATATACTGTATTGGCTTTCATTTCTAATAGAGCTGCAAGTTTCTTAAAGGAAATTCAACAAGTCATTGTAACTCTGCAGAAGTGTTTGTGGAGTTTTTGGCAAAATAAATTTGCACAATGCAAATTGTGATGTGTTGACTCCCTCCAAAGTCTATACTAGGTATTTTAATTTCTTAGCATCCTATTTCTACCCTCCTCTGTCTGCCTCACATGCCCCACCCAAGTCATTAGCCTTCATCTTTCACTCTTAGTGAATTGCTCACACCCTTCACCCTGACCTGCCTAGTATCAGAGGACCACGCTCCCTCAGTGCTACCCCATGTTATCTCCCCAGCTGAAATAGTCCACCATGACCATGTCTGCATCTCACAAAAGTCTTAAGTATATTTAATCTACTTCAAAATTCAATTAGTAAAACCTGGTGCGGTGGCAAGTGCCTATAATCACAGCTACGTGGGAGGTTGGGTGGGAGAATCCGTTGGTCCTAAGAGTTTGACACCAGCCTGGGCAGCAGAGCAAGAACCCCATCTCAAAAAATAAACAAGCAGAAAACCAAATTGTAATGTGTATTTTTTTTTATTAGAGGATCTTTCCATGATTTCTCTTACATCTCTTTTAGGTGCACCATTCTGAATCTACATTTTCATTTTGCCATTATCACTGTGACAGCACATATGAGATCATGTTGTCAATGTCTGCTTATTTGTCTGTGCTTGCACGCAAATGATGTGCCATGAGTCCATCAAAGGCAAAAAACTGTGTACATTTTACCTGCATTCCTAGCTTCTGGAATATTTTGGTAGTACCAATAGTCAAAACAATAAAATTGTTTGAACTAATAAGTAAATGAATGAATATTTAAATGTTTATTTAAATATTTATAGTAAACTGGGCAAGCCAAAAAATTTATCTTCAATATTACAAGTGAAAGGAAGAGATATTTAGAGGTAAACGAGTTGTTTCAAATCACTAAAATCTCACTGGTTAAATGTCTACTCTGACATAGGTGAGAGTTTTCTGCCTTGTTTTATTCCTAATACATAGCACAGGACTTAGTTTTAAAATGCATTTGATGAATACATTTTTGACTAAATAAATAATGATAGAGATAATAATGATGATTTATGCAAAAGATAGCAAAGTGTTTTTTACTTATCTCCATATCCAGAAAGTTTCTTTTACTTCACCATGCCTTCCACAAGTCTAAAGCATCTAAGGAAGCTTTCTTGGATAATTTTGAGAACCATGGTATTCACTGGTGCCTTTTTGTTTTTGTATTTGTATACATCTATTCATTTGCTTTTTCCACATTTTATTCTATGTATCTGTCCCTTTTTCTTGATGCCAGGGAATTTTATTTGTCTACCTCGTAAAACCCATATAATAAATTTAATGTTTAACTCTGGGTATCATTGGTATCCACAAATGTTTGGAAGAAAGATGTTTTCAATAGCAGTTAGCACCACAGAGGAGGTCCCTTTCTTCAGGAATGCGTACTGAGAAATTTTGTTGCGTAACCATAGAGAAATGTATTGTTTTATTTAAGCTTTCTTCTGATTAACAGTTACCCCAAAACCTGGATTTTATCTACCAAAAAACAACAAAATCTATCAACCCATCATAAAAATTGATGCATGCGTTCTCAGCTAAAAATATAGCCCCAATTGTTTTTTCCAAAAATTCACAAAAGACCCCTCGGTAGACATTTGCTACCCACAAAGATAAATTATTGATGAAAATTTCTCTAAAAGACATAGGAAATGTGAAAGGAAAAAGTTAATACTCTTATAGGGAGAAATCAACATAAACAGGTTTAAGGTATACATAATAGAATTCTCTTTCCTTGAATACATAAGTAATATTTCCTCAGACACTGCAGGACTTTTCCCAGAATACTTGAGATTGATGCCAAGGGCTGGATTTCTCAAGTTAAGACTCAATAACTGTGACATGATTGTCATCAATGACTGAGTCAGTTCCATGGTCTTGGATCAATGCAATAGACTTTTCAGGATTGACCATACAGAGGTCCCAGGAAAAATGAGGAAGAACCGAATAGCAAGTTAGTTATTTCTCTTATATCGTTTTCCAAAGTCCAGGCTGCCTTCCATGTCATTAGAAGAAGCTAATAATGCTTCTGCTATGTTCTATTTCCTACTACACTTGCTACCACCATGCGTATTTGTTAAATGCTTACATGCACATTTCTACATGTAGTATATCTATGTCCTACCACTGTGCACACATTCTCACTTCAGAGATCAGGTGTTTAGTTTCCTTCATCATTTATTTTATTTTTTTTGAGATAGAGTTTCGCTCTTATTGCCTGGGCTAGAGTGCAATGGCGTGATCTCAGCTCACCGCAACCTCCGCTTCCTGGGTTCAAACAATTGTCCTGCCTCAGCCTCCCGAGTAGCTGGGATTATAGGCATGTGCCACCATGCCCGGCTAATTTTGTATTTTCAGTAGAGACAGTGTTTCTCCATGTTGGTCAGGCTGGTCTCGAACTCCCGACCTCAGGTGATCTACCCGTCTCGGCCTCCCAAAGTGCTGGGATTACAGGCATGAGCCACCGCACCCGGCCCTTTCATTGTCTTTTTCGTACTTGATGTACACTTAATTCATTCTTTTCAACACATTTTTAATAACACTTCTTTCCTCTAAATGCCAGCTTTTCTGCTTACAACAGAGCTGCAAAGATTAACAGGACAATTTTAATCCTCTTGAGGCTTGAACTCCTGGGAGTTCATTCTCAAGATATTCCTGCTCCTCTTTTTGGGGGACTGGATACCATGCCCCGCTTAAGTCATCTCGCAGACTCAGGCCATCTTGTAGCCCAGATAGAAAAATCCAATTATGCTTTCTGCACTGAAAGCACTGCATTGTAAAAGGTCTAATGCTGGCAAGTGAAGCTTCCATGACGTATGATTAATTACTTTACTATTCCTTGTCATCATAGTTCGAAATACGTCACCATGTTTCAGGCACCAGGAATCAATTATTCTGGGAGTCTCATAGTGTGTGGAAAGAAGTATTAGGGCAAGCAGAAGATTGCTATACATTTTGCATGTGGGTTTATATATGATACCTTATTGATTACTCTAATAATGATTCCTACTCAATGTTAATCCCATAGTTCGAAGGAACAATGATCTATAAATTCCAGTTGAGCATGCTGGTCATCTAGAGCTCAGATGGTCTTGTCTCCAGTAATTTACAAAATTACTTACAGCTTTAGGTCTAAGTTTAGGATACTACACGCCAAATTCTAGGCCGAATTGAAGTTCTTCAAAGTAGTAGCAGTCCCTAAACTATGTATACTTAAGAAATGTCAACCAATCTTTAGATGTTAAATCTGGCTTCTTGAGCTATTTGTCCAATGTTCCTTAGAAGCCCTATTTAACACTAAATGGCTGGAAAGATCAGCAATTTGTTCAGATTGGATGCCAGCCAGTCTGCAAGCATTGAGGAAGTGCTCAGCAGAAACAGCCGTGCGGTGATACAGATGAGAAGAATGAATGGCAGTGGGATGCCCAGATAGCACCTGTTTATCAGCCTACGTTGGAGGTGACAGACAAGACAGCGGAGCAGAAGACAACCTTTGATTAATGGTAACAATCACGGCAGAAAGATTAGCCTGTAAACTGTACATACAGACACTGTAGTTTTGTTTTTTTTTTTTTTTTTTTTTTTTTTCTTGTGAGAAGGCTTCATGTTGCTGTCAGATACAGTTGCAAATAAAAGATTTTCATCTACACCATTACACCAAAGGGTTCTGTTAAAATAACCCTTTCTGTTTATAAATGGAAATAAACTTAATCTACAACTTTTACCAGATTTTGATGAGAAGGGTTTGACTTTTAACACCAAAACCACATGGCCCTTATGCCTCATAACATTTTCTCTGCTGATGTCTTTAAGTTATTGTTCTCTTCCCCTTTGTTCTGAGAATGTGCTCATTGGCAACCATCTGAATCCTAATTCAGCTTCCTAGGTCCTTTGATATAGAAAGTGGGTGTCTTAAATAGTATCAGAATATTCCCTATTATGTACTGTGAGATAGACTTAAGGGATCATCATCTCAGTAAACACTAATAATGATGATAAATATGATTTTTTCTGGATCCACAATGCTGAGACAGGCCCCAGCTCTAAACTGAGATGATCCCTTTAAAGTAGCATCACCCTATGAAACCTTCTGTGTGACTGACTGACCTCTCTCTAAAAGAACTCTGCATCATCCCTCTATAACTACAACCCCGGGCCACTATAATTATCAAGCAGATTTAGCATTTAATTATTTTCCTATTTAATAATGAGGCAGCTGCTATACTTTCTCTGAACTTTTAATAGATCATAGTACTTTGCTGTTAATCTTGTCTGTTTCAATGATTTCTATTAAAGAGCACAGAATGAGGACACATTTGATTACATTAT